CGGTTCATCATTAATTTCTAAATCTTTAAAATCGATTTTCCATAAAAGACTGTCCAGTTCTTGTTCGTACCTCCAGTTACGGTATAGTACCAACAAAATTATCAGTACTATCACTATTATACCCCCAGCTACGCCCCCTGTTATCTCTACAGTGTGAGCTAAAAAAATATTAAATCAAAAAATTTTGAAAATAAATCTAAAAATACTTACTGATGCATTTTTCTCCAGTAAATCCACAAAATGGCTCCGCTATTGGTGGATATCCATTTAACCAGTCGATTGTAGCTGTCAAATGTAGTACCTGTAAATTGAAACACCTACACTCTGTCTCCGGATTATCGTTACAAGAGGAAAAAAACTTTTTTATTATTGACATTTTGAGAAAAATGCATTCTCCATAAAATTTTTGCTGGTTCTAAAATGGTTAATCCCCTTTATACTTTTCCAAATTTCCATACCGTTTTAGAGAAAATTTTAAAAAAATGATTGAATTTTTCCTAAAAGAAAGAAAGGTAGGAAAATTGTTTTAAAGAAAATTAGAATCAAAGAAAGAAATAATATAAAAAAAGTAAATAATTTCTTTTAAATTATTAGTTGATTATTTACTTCATCACACTGTATAAATTAAAGATTTATTAAACAAAAACATTTAAAAGTAATTAGCAAGGTTTGCAATTTTATTTAAAACAAACACCAAACGTTTTTGTTGTTAATCGCACATTAAAAATGGTATTACTTGTTTCAAATAATGGTAAGCTGAATATATTTTATTTTTCTTATTAAAATGAACATCAATGTGATAGGATTAATGATTTTAGTCTTTAATCAGGTAGGGCAAAGTGTACTGTATTTAAAATGTACAAAAATACCTATACACCATTTTTTTTAGAATTGTGAATTGGTTTGGACTGACTCAGTGTTACCCACTCACGCTCAGCAAGTGAATTTACTCACAAGCGTAGAAGAACTGTTTGAACAAGTCAAGTATGCCTCAAAAACTGAACAAGAAACAATGAATGATTCGATCAAATCAGACATTCAGATGACATTAAAATGGAGTCAGTTCCTCATTGGTAGTCTTAGAGATCTCTATCTGTTAAGTAAGCTACCAAACGATCGAAAAAAAAACGGCGTCAGAGATAGCTGGGGCATGAAAATCGATGATAATTTTGACGAGGTCAAACCCTAGACGTACTGTTTTTAATTTTTCTATAATTAGTGTTTATTTTTTGAAATCTTATGTTAATTTTTAGTAAATGTCGTCTAGAGTACTTTGACGCCGTTTTTATTCGATCACACTGTATATTTTGACTAGCTTTTTAACTTTTTACGGATAAATTCGTTGTAGAATTGACATCGAACAGTAATTCAGTATGTTCAATAGACGAAAAAGAATCTATGGTGCAGATTTCCCAAAATGCAGCAAAAAACCTAGATAATTGCACCAATCAAGGTAGATTTTTTTGTTATACAGGGTGATGTAATTTTAATTAAACAAATTTTGATATTATATTATTTTTTTTAAGAACTGGGAACGATAAATTCGAATTCGAGATCTTTTATCGAACATTACTGATTCAGCTGTAGAAAATGCTGAAGGATTTTTGGACAAACTGAAAAGCTGCAGCAGTAAAAAGGATTTACCGTTATAGCTTGTTACAAGAAGATAATAGACAACGATGTGACACCTGTCAAATTGATTCTGTCTCAATCGATAGAGGATCATAAAGAAAGCTATATCAGAGCATTCCAGATTAAATCTTTGGTAAATAATTGTGTGGATTTTGTGTTGGATGATGCTAGGAGGAACTTAGAGGTAGCTTATGACAGAGGAATGTATTGCAACTGAAATAAGTTATTTTGGAGATTTTTAAGATATTAAATTACAGCAGATGCCAAAGCGAATGGCGACATGTTACATAAGAATAGAGATTATTTTTTTAATGTCTGATTTAGCTGTCACCTTTTTATTTTTTGTACCCTTATCTTATTTACACCCTGTATAATTTTATTTTCCGAAAAAAGGATTTAAATTACTTTTTTGCACAATAAAAAAGCGTCAATATGGTTTTTTGTCGTATTTTTTTCTCACAAAAAGCTTTGAATGAAACTCGACCATCCAGTTTTCCCGAACAACGAGAGTTTCCCTCATACACGCAATCTTTTGCGGCTGAAAAGGGTTTTCCCTTTTACAGGGGAGTTTTCCATTCTGTTTAGGGCAGAAGTGTGTAATTAATACTCTTGGAAAATTAATTGCGATGGAAGAATTCCCGGAATTCCTTTAAATAGGAATATTTCGTTATATAATTCACATTCGACGCTTGTTTTAATTATAGAAGTACCTCTTGTTTAATTATTCACTTTCAGTGCTAATTTTGCAAACCTTCAATCCAATGTTATATACAGTATGTCCTCAGGTCATCTTCACAAGGGAAAAAACGTTTTAATTAACATTTATTCTAGTTCAATTGTATTTTTTGAGAAAAGTCTTGGGGTAGTTCTCATTTATTTTGTTCTTTATCCTTTTTGGGGGGCACTGAATCGGAATCTGATGTTTGCTAACAGAATTTCGTGACGGAACATTAGAAAAAACTGAAGAAAACGTCAAAAATTGCATTTTTTGTGGTTTTTGCTTATAGGCTTGCTGCATTTCAGCTGATTTCAACAAATTCCGACCGCAGCGCTTCAACGGCAGAAATCAGAAATTATCAGTACTTAGAGTAGTAAAAAATAAATGAAAAAGAATTCAAACTAGGAGTCGTGTTGTATTGTGACAATTTCAAATGTTAATACAATGGGCTTTTTCACAAAAAGTTAAATACCCAATTCAAGGATAAAATTTGAAATAGAAGACTATTTTCAGTATATTTATCCAAAAAAAATAGTTCCATGACATCGAATAATTTTTTTATGGGCCCTCAAAATTGCTTTAATTTGAAATAATTTTAAAGCGCCAATTGATGACGTATGAAAAATACGTCCAATCAATCGATACAGAACCGTGCTCGTGCGCCAGCCAACAACTAGCAACATTGCGATTTGATTTGACCAGCACCACCTCAACTCAAGGACAATCAACATGATATAAAGGCCAAAATATGAAAACGAAGGCGCTGATAATTGTTTACCTTTAACTTGAAGCAGGCGAGTGGTTTCTCGTTCGATTACATACCGAAATAGTAATTTTTCTCTAGTTTGTTGTGCTTCTGCAACACGTTCGTTTAGTTCTTACAAATAATAAAGATCTACAGACGCAAAATCATAAAAATTAAAATATCTAGGAAAATCTTTGTTTGAGGGGTAGGCAACCTTAATAATATTTTGAAAATATATAAATTCTTCATTGAACACTGGAATAATATACTGGGTGTTCCATTTAAAAAAAATAAAGGAGTAACTTGCTTTTAAAAGTGACTAATGCTCCATATTAATTTTGTCTCACCCTGTATAACTTTTCGTGTCAAATTTCAATTTGGTTTAACATACAATGGTTACTGTAATTAAAAATCAGGCTATAGAAGGTCAACTAAAATTTAGATAGCTGTTATCGAAATTTAAAATTTACTCTTCATTTTCACAAAATGTGAAATATGTCAAAATCTTTAGATTTTAGGTATATGCTTCTTTAATAAAACTCACCTTTATTTTTTTCCTAAAACCCGAAAATCAATTAATAAATAGGGTGTTTCATTAGAAGAAGAAAAAATTCAAAGAAGAAAAAATATTAAATATAAAAGTTATAGGTACGGTTAAGATACACATTTTAAAATTATTATAGAGTATACAGGGTGCTTCAAAAAAGTGTGGCGAATATAACATGTTTTTTTTAAATGCAACACCTTATGTTTTATTTTATTTTTAGATTCTGTGTAAAATTTCATAATTTTCTTATATATACTGTTATATACCTAAAATTAATAGTTTTTGTAATATTTAAATTTGTTTAAACAAATGTCAGATTGCAGTGTGTTAAAAATTGTCAGTGATGCCTTTGTTTCTGAAGTTGGACAACTAAAATTTGGTAGGAGAATTTTATAGAGATATAGAAAAAGACCTATGTAAAGATATTTTAGTTAGATGCTACAGGGTGTTCAAAATATATTTATGAATTTCGACTAATTAAAATTAAGAAATTTCAAATTTTTTAAATGGTACGCCCTATATATTATCATTTTTTTTGATAAATTTTACAAAACTTTTCAACTTTTATTAGGTATGTCATATACCTATTTTTAATAGTTTGCGATTTATTCCAATTTCTTCTAATTTTACCCATATTATTAATACAATTACGCTATAACATCATAGTTACCATGACAAAAAATAATAATTATCAAAATTTCATGTCTGTTAAGGTAAGTTAACAAAATTTGAATGTTGTCGTAGGGTGATAATGGTAGAGATAAGAGTTACATATTTTCCTGAAATGAATTAGTCAATGTGACTAATATACACGAACAAGCCAAGAAAAACATATTTTTTGGTTCAGTACTATATATTATATAGTACTTTGCTAAGTACTATGAGAATAGATGTAGATTATCTAGAAAACATCTTCAGTGTGTAATGGGACGGTTTGGCGGCATGCGGCAGTAGTAATATTGGCTTTACGAAATGAATTATAATCAGTCAGACATTATAATCAGTCATTATATCAGTAGTCTTCAACAATTAGGTAATTTAGTATTACCCTATTCGCCCCGACGGAAAATCCAAGTATCATTTTTCATAATATAGAAATACACCAAGAAATTCACGACTGCGATTTTAGTTTATTTGAGTAAAGTTAATTAATTTTAACTAATACCCTTGTTTATATATTAATAGTTAGTCAATGTGCCTGTATAAGTCGATGCTGCCAACTGGTGGCAGAAATTAAAACGTAAAAAGGGGCGGAGACTATTGAATTTGGCAAAGAAGTAGGGACTAGGAATTCTTCGAATTTAATTCTCGGTAAAGAATAAAAATATCTTATCTGATTCGAACCGAATTTATACCTCAAAGCGTTATTTACATTTTTTATTTTTGGACATGGATTTATATTTATTTTGATTTTCATAGCCACTTGTTGGATACTAAAGTATTATATTAGGTATATAAATATTTTATTTTTAGATGGATAATTAAAGAATATAATATGAAACTATACCTACCTACGTCTGTAACTTTGTAAAAAGTGTGGCGGATTTAACATAATGTTTTTTTTAAATGTAACATCCTATTTTATTTTAGATTCTGCGTAAAATTCTATTACTTTTTTTACGTATATTTCTTGTATAATGGTGTAACCTAAAACTAGTTTTATAATATTTCAATTTGTTGATGAAGAAAAAATATTAGATATTTATATGTAGATATTTAAGGTAGAGCTACAGGGTGTTCAATATATATTTTTGAAATTCGACTACGTATTTAAAATAGAAAAATATCTGCAGATTCTTTCAATGACGCAGCCTATACTGAGTGTTTTTTCAAAAGCGGTTCACCTCTATAACTTTTTTATTTTTTCAGATAAAAAAATTAAATTCGGGGTTTACCAATTCGGAATGTTAGTAGGTATATAACATAAATCGAGATTGATTCGTATTCCGTTAGTTTCGGTCACTTCCTGTTTCACCGGAAATGTATACGAGTACAACATTTGATTTTTAAATGGTACCCTCAGTATTTTTTATACTTTATTTGATAGAAAATGACATTCTGAATAGAATGACATATATCATATGTCAACTTTTGACATTTTCAATTAAAAAAAATAGCATTTTAAAATTCAATCTAGTGTCATGGCTGTGTTAAAACCATTAATTTTTAATCAAGGAGCTTCGGAAAAATTGATTTGATCGTCTAATATTTTTTGTGTCTTTTCCTTTTTGGTACCTGGTAAATAGGTAATTTGGTACCACACACTTCGTATATCGAGTCAAACTGTCGTTACCTTTACGACCGGTTACATGTTGTTTTTTATCATGGCACTCTAGATTGTAATTTAAAATACAATTTTTTAAGTAAATATGTCAAAAGTTGACATTAAATTATTCTATTCACAATGCCATATTCTGTCAAATAAAGTAAAAAAATACCGACGGTACCATTTAAAAACCAAGTTGTAGTCATTTCCGGTGAAACAAGAAATAACCGAAACTAATTGAATACGTCAATCAAGCCACTTTTGAAAAACACCCGGTATATTATATTTTTTTCTGATAGATTTTACAAAATTCTTCAATTTCTATTAATAATGTCATATAACTATATAAATTACTTTAATGCTTAATAATAAATAATTTTTGTTTTGTCATGGCAAAACTTGTTATAGTGTAAATGAAGTAAAAGAAGGATAAAAATTGAAAAATTCAGAACAGATTGCAAGCTGTATAGAGTATAGATGTACTTAATATACTTTCTTAACAAATGTTGAAAGGTTTTGTAAAAGCACTAGAAAAAATAATAATATATAGGATCAGCCAAAAAAAACTGTTTGAACACAGTGTAGCATCTAACTCCAAGTATTTTTACATATATCTTTTTCTTCACCTCTGTAAAACACTCCTACCAAATTTGTGTAGCCCAACTTCG